TGGCAGACAATAATTGATATTAAAAAAACCGTGCTTATCTTAGAATAAAAACCAAACATTTGTAAACACTGACTGACATAGTGATCTATTAACGCACAGCCCAAACCACTTGACGGATCGGGCTGAAATTTGACATGCAGGTAGATGTTATGACGTAGGCATCCGCTAAGAAAGGATTTTGATCAATTCTACCCCCAAGGGGATAAAATAGGGAATGAAATGAAATGTATGAAACTTTGTCAATTTTAAACCGATCGGGCTGAGACTGCATGCAGGTATAAGAAGAATCATAGATGAATGTGTATAATACAAGCCTGAGAACAAATACTGTAGTCTACACTTCTGCTCTACACCGAAGCGAAGCGAGGGCGGACCGCTAGTTAATCAATAAAATAAATCTTCTGTTAGAGCAATTAAAAATCCTATAAAGTTAATATGACTGTCACGATTTTAAATCGGTAAAGCCTGTCTGTTAGTGTAAGAACTTCTTTTTTATTGTTAATGTTAGTTGCCTCGTTTAATTAAAACTTAAGCACAAAAGGCTTATAAAATTGGGAAAAATCATACAGAGCAAATCGGTATAACTTACGAGCTTAGTGAAGGAAGGAACTCTTCGTGTCTGATTTGCCCACGTCATGAAATTCCCAACACATTTAATCACAGCCACAGTCACACACACACACACACACACACACACACACACACACACACACACACATAATAATATGTTGTTTTGCGGCAAGCACGGGCGGGCGGCGCGCCCCCTCGCTGGCAACTAGCGCCGGTTGCGGCGTCTTTGATGATGTGAATTCCGCCCACCTCCCCTCTACCCCGCACGCGGTGGTTTGCTTTGATTGCATGCAAAACGCAGTCGCAAGTATATCAATCGCGCGTGGGCGTGCGCATTTTTTGACTTAGTGACATACACTGTGATAATTTCATTATGCCTCGGTATACGAACCAAGAATACCTAGAGATGGTGTACTGCTATCGCGAGTGTGACGAAGTAGGTTTGGTTTACGAATGAGTCCCCAAACCATAGAAGTTGCATTTTGTGCAGTGAGTAGTGATAGGGACACTTTAAAAAAGGTGAAAAGACACGTCCGCAAACATGCCTACCTTTGTTTGCAGCAAAATGGTGGTTTAGAGCAACAATTTTGCAGATAATAATTTAAGTCTCTTTTTATTGCTAGTGTAAATACTTTTTGATTAGAAACAACTAATTGTGTACTACCAGTGTGATTGATTTGATAAAAAGTTCTAGTGAAAAAAATTAATATGTTCCTCGCTGTACCTACCTACATCGCCGGTCTCGTAAGTACTTTTGAATACCGGGTTATAAATTTCATTCTGACCCAAGTATTGAACTGCAATAAGTATTTCTTTTTGTTTAACATTTGCCTATTTCCAATCGTTCGTAAAATTATTATTAACTTTTAAAGTTTTTCTCTGCTTAAGAGAAGATGACATTTGTGCTTATTATTTCAATTTCAATAAAGGCATCTAAGACGATTTTATTGTATTGTGTGGAATCAAACGAGTCAGCTGAGCTCTGTGTAGAGGTATCTACTCACTCAACGGCTGGCGGGCGCGGTCGGTCGTTGACCCGCGGTGGAATTTAATGTTTTTCCGTTTTTTAGAAGTGCTTATTTATTAGTTGTTTTTCACTGGATATGTAAGTTTGTTTGTTTAAAACGAATAACTACTCAAAAGGAGGAAAGGACATAAAAATACACAAATTATAAATAAATACATGAAAAAAATATACTTCAAAAAAATCCGAAAAAAAAAGGCATACTCTATACACATAACCCAACAATCTCACGAAGTTTCATAGAAACATTCAATTTCACCCTATATATTATTCTTCTGTGAGTGTGTATGTCACTGAACTTCTCTTAAACGACTGGACCGATTTTGATGAAATTTTTTGTGTGTGTTCAAGGGGATCTGAGAATGGTTTAGATTCACAATTTTGTCCGCTGGACAATGTTTTTTTAATTTTTTTTTTTATGGCGGTACGAAGTTCGCTGGGTCAGCTATTATTAAGTAAATGTTGTTACATTATACTTTTAATGTTGTGGAGATTTTTCGCTCGTTTTTCTCCGCAGCTAAAAAATATGTCCAATAACGAGTGGTAGGGAAAAAAATGTTTGGACGATTCAGAAGTGTTGTACTATACATCCAATTTGAATAAAGATAAATTGATTTCTGATCAGACCTTTAATAAATTCTCCGCAAATACAGCAAACAGAGTCCAGAGGCCCACGAATTTTGACAAATCCATAGTCGTATCGTCATCGTCAAATTTTGTATGTAAGGAGCCGGTTTATTCTTACGCCCGCTCCCGTAGTTTTCATAGACACTTTGACCATGCGATACGATTACGGAATTACAGTAGAACGCCGATTAACTGAATCGCCAATCATCCGAATCAGTCCTAAGCACGGAGGAAAAACAAAGAGGAGCTGGCCTAAGCAACTGTGCACTGTGATTTTCAACTAGGTCCTGACGTCATCATTGTGGGCGGGGCCTAAGTCAGTATGCTTTCAGCGTTCGTCAGGTGCACACTTAACGAGACTCGCATTATAAGTGTTTTTTTGCGTTTTTAACAAGAAAAGGATGAAGTTTTGTGTTTTACTATGTCAAAGTTACTCAGACAGACGTTCTGATAATATGGATGGCATCACATTTCATTTGTAAGTAATGTTATACGTAATTAAATATATAAGTTCTAGAACATTCTCAGCCTCAGCTATCAGCGTTAAAATTCTACTACTTGACACCAGATGGCGACACTTTTAGGAAGAAAATACACAAGTTTACGTATAATTTTGCAGTAGTATATTGTAATAATCATACGTAAATACTGAAAACTGTTATACACTTATTCCTAAATAACTTTTAGTATCTAAAACAGTAATTTTATCAATATATTACTAACTGGCCGCCATCTGTCGTCATATAGAATAACTTTTTAAACGTTACAAATATCCAGGGCCGTAATACGTATTAAATTATTTTACCAAGTAAATAAATTTTAATTATTTTTATGTTCGTTTTAGATTTCCATCCAACGATAATTTAAAACAGCAATGGATTTCAAAACTTAATAGACCGGATTGGACACCATAGAAGAAGAAGATATTTCCATTTTAAATGAATCTTCTGTGCAAAAAAATAATATTACATCAGAACGTTATCGCATTTTAAATAAAATGAGTTTCGAGTCTTCGGATAGCATGGATGTCGAGCCTATGCCTGACGATATGTTATTGGAATTTGATGAACAATTAAATACAACTATAGGTGACTATTTGCGCCGTCATATAGTAGCATATATTTCTGGGTATGTGGTCAAATATTTACATTCCAAGATCAAATGTGAGAGCTGTCTCAAAGAATTATATGCTGATAACTACGACGATAGTGACCTTGATTTGATAAAAACTAAAAATAAGGGTGGTCTTACTTTCCCATCTAGAGATGTCATAAAAATATGTATACGGACCGAAGGCAGTATTCGTTGTGTTAAATCGCAATCTTTGAATACTCCTAACTTTCGTCAACATAAAATTGTATCGAATACATTAAAATCACTTATTGGACAAGATTGTTTCAAAAAATCGGCCAACCATATGTTTGACCAATCACCTACAGTTAATCATGTTGTATTTCTGATGAAATCGATTGCAGAAAAATATATTGATATTCGTTTTAAGCATTTTGCCACAATACAAAACGATAGGGCAACCAACCGACAACAACTAACCAAAACTATTATTTACAGGTAATTGATGTTTTTTAATAAAATTATGTTTTGTAATAACATTTTATTATTTTTAAACTACCTTAAAATTTAAATCTAAAGAAAATATAACTAGAAAAATATCCACGCGGACCAGGCAGCAGACGGGAGCGGGTGCGGGTTCGAGTCCCGTCTGCTGCCTGGTCTGCCTGGATTTCTTTTCATCAAGCCGTTACATGTTTTAAAATAATAAAAATTATACCTTAAAAATTTTAAAATCGGTCAAATTTGTTAACGTTTATTTTATTTATTTACCTACATATTTCATTTTTTTGAAGCTTCAAGTTCTGAGTACGTCCCATTATATACAAAACTTTTGAACATCTAGTGTTAGATAGCTGAACTACTACGTAGTAACATAAATATCAACCTAAGCTAGTTTTGCTATTAGCCGATAGATGAAATATTGAGAAGTGGGCGGAGCTGAACACCCCGCATCCCGCAAATTATCACGCGTCGTTTCTTGAGGAAATTTAATCACCACACCTCCTCTTTGTTTTTCCTCCGTGGTCCTAAGCGTAATTTAAAAAATTAAAACCAAGTTATTATTGCTTTGTTTTGTTGTAACAAGTTGGAACTTGCTGGAATCCAGTTATATTATTTCAACTGGTTGAAGTTGAAAGCTAGAGGCAAGACACTACATGTTTTGCGTGGCGCGTTTTGTTTTGCTTCTGTGTACCTATATTATTGTTGTAAGTATTTTAGAACTGTGTTAAACTTATAAAGTTTATTCTATGTGTGACGGTTAGTTTCTCTTTATTACCACCAGTATAGACTGGTCGATTCGGATAATCGGACAAAGGTCCGATTAGGTATCCGAATCGACCCCGGTCCCAATTAATTCGGATAATCGGCGTTCTACTGTACTGTCAAAATTCGTGCTTGAGCCAGACATAGCTTTTACTCATTTTGGAAGTCATTTTAAAGCTCTAGACTAGCGAAATTAGCAGTTTCTCTAAAATATGTTTACATACACCAAGTGACTGCTCTAGTGTTTCCTGTTACAATAAAGTTACGCTCCTACAGTGTTTCATAAAAGTATTTCAAATGATTCACACCCTACCACTACTCGCAATTTACGTGCAAGAAATTCTATGAAACCCAAATGCGAAATACACTCTTGGTTGAGCCAATGCCATATATTAAAAGATTTATTCAGATTTGCTGGGGGCTTCCATGATTTAATACTCACAAAGATAGGATTGTAGGCAGCAATAGAAGAAACGAATACAATGTTTCCACCTCCTCTCTTGATCAATTCAGGATATGCTTCTTTCGTTAGCAACCATGAAGATTTGACATTTACATCAAATATCTTGTCCCATGCTTCTTCTGACATCTAAAATTTAATTTTATAGTTTACCTTATTAATTGTAAAATGGTTTTTTTTGAGGACCTTTTTCATTGAAACAGTATAAATGACAGTTTGTAGAAGATAATAACACTTCCCACCCGCATGGAATAAAGGATACAAGGGCATAATGGGTCCAGGGCAAATTATAAAATGTGGGCTTCTATCAATACTGACTGACTGTTAGGTCAATAAAGGGTCAAACACTTGTTATCTTTGCCTCAGAACTAATTGTGTCTTGGTAATTTTAATAGAGATTTGTATAAAATAGACATTTCTCAAGAGCCCTCTGTACAGAGCCTGTCCGGAGGAGTAGATGAGCACCCAAAACATACATAGGCACTTGTGGAAAAGATCTGTAGTTAACAAGAAAATGGAAATCTTTACCAAAACTCCTAATACCTACAACATTATCAAATTTAATATTCATTTAGCCATATCAACCCCTCTAGCATGACCACCGAAACGGGATATCTTCAACCTCATCAGCAATAACTGTAAGACTACTGTCAAACTCCACTGTAGTCTGTTAATGCCGATATATCGCTTTATCATAACCCGTTTCGGTGGTCATGATAGAGTGGCAGATAGTAGTGTATTATGTTAATTCGAGATAAAATGTGTTGTATTACTGATTTGAGTAATAAAATACAAACCATGTTTTCTTATCTTTGGACATGAGTCCAAAGGGCACACATTGAGTACTGTGTTCAAAGTTCACATGCACAAATTGCAGGCAGAAGTTTGTGTTACTTTTAACTACTCACAGATATTGCATAGGCGCACTGCAGAGCAACACATTCAAGTTCAATAATATATTTTATGCTTTTGATATACAGTAGAATGCCGATTATCCGAATTAATTGGGACAGTGGTTGCGATTCGTAAAATACGGGCCGTAGTGTCTTTGCCTCTAGCTTTCAAACATAACAGATGAAATATATCTGGACTCCAGTGAGTTCCAACTTGTTACAACAAAACAAACCAAAAATAACTTGGTTTTAATTTTTTAGATTTCGCTTAGGACTGATATGGATAATTGGTGATTCAGTTAATCAGCATTATACTGTACTAGATTTACCTCAAGTGTTCTTCCAACTGATGGATTTACAGCAGCATTTGATATTAAAATATCCAAACCTCCAAACTTGGTAACAGCCTACAAAAAGAAAAAAATCTTAAATAAAGTTCTTGTTGGTATTAATAACCTTGAACCCTTTATATTTTTAGAAAGTTTGGTTGTCCTGATAAAGTGTATGTGCATGTCATTAAGAGAGCATTTATTTGAATAAAACTAAGGAGACCTAATATACACTGGAAACCTCATTCAACCAATGAAACTTCATTATGGTATTCTTTAGGTGAAGTGGGTTTTCCTATTATTTCTGTGACTGCACCAATTCAAACAGAATACTTGCTATACCTTACAACTTTTGGCTAGCCAAGCATACCTCTTTCGCTACTCATAAACAAGCAGCAAATTATTAAGTCATGTTTTATAGCTCACCAGATCTAATAACTTCTTCCTGTGTTCCTTGTCAGCTACATGGCAAACAACACCTTCTACAGAGATGCCATCATTTCTCAAATTAGTGACTGCTTTGGAAACATTGTCCTGTTTTCTGCTACTGACAATAATAGACGCTCCTTCGTCTCCAAGCCTTTTAGCAATGGAGTATCCAATTCTAGTTGACAACCAATTATTACATTACAATTTAAAAAATTACAAGTTATTAACAATAGAACTCCAATTGTTAGAATAAAGTTAATATCAATTTTAATACAGACACTGGCTTAAGCAAAACCACTGAATTTTTTTTCTTTATACAGACCTTCCTTCATTTAATGTATTATATATTGGTATATTTATGAAAGAGCCATAACGTCTACGTATTTCTATTGAACAATTAAAGCCCTAAGACAGACTGCAAAACAGCAGAGATATATTAATAGGGTTCCATTTGGCACTCTATGGATGTGGAACCCTAACATCATTATCTTAATGACATTATCTAGTTATGTGAGAGACTGGCATCTGTACTAGGAGACCTATATTACAGATAACCAGTCACTCCACTTCCGAAAGGTCTATCAGAAACTCTAAATACATATAAGTTTATAAGTGAAATACAAAAACATAACTTAAAGAAAAAAAAAGAAGGTAGTGAGTGTCTGTGATTGTGTGCGTGCGTGTTTGTTATGTGTTGTCTAATATAGTGATTAATTGTGATTATAAGACTGTGTAGTATGTCTCTGTTTGTTTATGTATGTACAAGTGAATATATGTTTATGTAATGTTATGTACATTTCATGAGATGACAACCAAGAGTTTTTCAGTTGTAATGTAATTCTCTTGCAAATCATACTTAGATAGCGGATTGATGTTAGTTTGTTTTTTAATTTCATTATACATATAAATAACAGCCTATATAACCAAAGAACCTTATTGAAAAGGCAGTTGTCCACTGAGTATTATGTGGACAAATTTTGTGTTTGTGTTGTTTATTTGCATTGAGAGATAAGTACTTGGTTGTGTTTTAGCACTGTATTGAGAATAAAAAGTTGACGAAAGCTCAGGACATCAGCTAAAGCATGTCTTTAGTCAGTCAGACACAAAGTCACAATCCCATATACTTTTGTGCTTTAAATTTAATAAATTCAAAAATACTTGCCCTTCAGTTGATGCTGTTACTATAGCCACTTTTCCTTCTAGTCGTTTATTGTGAAGATTTCTTGCATCTAAGAAAAGTGGTGTAAAAGCATTAATTTTCATTATCTTGGAAGGAATCATTTATTTTTTTTTTCTAAACAAGAAAGACAAGACTTGCGTTGCGTAGCTTGGTAGTGGTAGGGCAAAGAATAAAGTAAGTATACTAAAGGTAGGGTACGAAGTTCATTCTCTAACCACTTTTGTCACCGCACGCTTGTTCAAAGAGAAACAAAACGCGAACTATTTATGGTTTTGTAAGTACTCACTACAAAACTTGCTACCTATAATGCGATTCAAATAAAACCCCTTCCACACGACACAATTTGATTGCCAATCTGATTGCCGATTGAATAGGCTAGTTGACCCTTTTTGGAAAAAGGTTTTAATTTAAATGGTTAATAAATATTCTATTAGACCGAAAAAAAATGTATTGTATTTTTTTGAGACCTAGAAAGCTACAAATCTATAATTTTATGTGAAGAGATAGTATATCAACCTCTTCATCTCTATGATTAAACTGTTAGCACTATGACTTTTGACAATGGTTTCTATAACTGACTTTCTTTTCTGATATCTTTCACTGTATTTTCCTGAATATATTTAAATTACGTTTTGTTTACTTTGATCAAGTTGTTATATTATTGCCTTATCAATTATCGTCTATAAATAATTTTACACTTCATAAAAAGTTAATATGGTAGCAGAGTTTTCGAAGTGAAAAACACGTCGGCACGACATACAAGTAAGTCGAGGTATCTATATTGAAAACTAAACCTTGTATTGCCAAATATGCCGAAGGCGACTTATCACATTGATCCACTCGATAAGGACAATTATGACACTTGGGCAATTCAGGCTGAAGCCGTATTGGTAAAAAGTAAACTATGGAAATACGTTGTTAGTCCATTAGCCCCAAACGCAAGTAGTGATGATACTGAAGGAGACAGACAGGCGAAATCAGAATTAATCTTGATAATCGCTCCATCTCAACTTAAAGAAATAAAGAAATGCACTTCTGCAAAGGCTTTGTGGGACAAACTGAAAGAAATACATGCCAGTAAAGGACCTGCGCGCAAAGCGTCTCTACTCAAAAAATTAATACTTACCAAACTTGAAGGAAGTGATGTACGTGCACACCTAAACAGCTTCATGGATACAGTTGACAAATTAGCTGATATGGACGTTAATATTAATGAGGATTTATTAACAATTCTGATGCTGTATAGCCTTTCCTTCGAATATGAAAATTTTCGTGTTGCTATAGAGTCACGCGACGTCCTGCCAAAACCGGAAGATCTTAAAATAAAAATTATTGAAGAAAGTGACGCACGCCATCACAACTACGACAATGATGAACCTGGTATTCAAAAACATGTAGAAGAAAATGCACTCTATGCAACTTGCAAAATCTGTAAGAAGACAGGGAGCAAGATTTTTCAGAAAAAGACACATAAAATATGTTCCCATTGCTGGAAGAAAAATAAGGAGAAGAAATCAAATAACAACAAGTTTGACAATTCTCACTATGCTGAAGAGTGTCTTCTTACTTTAAACCGAAACAACCAGGACAATTGGGTACTTGACAGTGGTTGTACCTCTCACATGACGCATCATCAGAACTTTTTCAAAGATATGAAGACTGTGTCAAGAAAGCTCAACTTTGCATCGAAAGATCATTCCACAGACATTATGGGAGAAGGGAGAGTTACGCTGAAAAATAAGTTTGGGAGGATACATTTGGAAAACACATTGTTTGTACCCACACTTACTACAAATTTACTGTCAGTTTCTAGTATGACAGATCACGGGGCTTCGGTGACATTTGACAAAGACAAAGCAGTAATATGTAACAAGAGGGGAAAGCTATTGTTAACCGCTGAAAAGTCTAATGGGCTCTACTATGTTACATCGCCAAACATCGAACAAAGCTTAGCAGCAACGCCTGCAACAAGTTCAATAAATGCGAAACAAGGCTCCATACAAGACTGGCACAGAAAACTTGGACATATGAACTATAAGGACCTTCATTTGGCTCTCAACAACGAGACTATGATTGGATTGGACTTTAATAAAAATGAGACTTTGTCAGACTGCGAGACCTGCATAGAGGCAAAAATGACTCGAATGCCAAACCCGCCTCAACGAACTACTCCTAGAACTACCGAACGCTTAGAGATTATCCACAGCGACGTATGTGGTCCAATCAGCACTCCATCTAATGGTCTAAGCAAATACTTCGTTACTTTTATTGACGATTACAGTAGATATGGAACGGTAT